CCGCCTTTTTGGTTGCTTGTTCTCCAATCAGGGACTCCGAGAGGAAGCGCTTGCACCGGAAGCAGATCTGATGGAGCCTGTTTGGATAAGAGCCTCCTTTAACAGCCTTGCAGCCTATACAGAATCAACCAAAATGTCCTCCTCAGAGATGGTAACAGAGCCCTGCAGGGATCTGAATCCAATAAGAAGGTGAGGCTTAACCAGTTTCCTTATGTACAAATATGAAACAAAGGCAGAATCGGTCTTACAAGTCAACTTACCATGATTCTTGGCCTTCTCTCTGTATTTTGGGGACCATTCTTTTGACTAAGGGGTCTCAGGTGCGGTGATGTCCAAAATCTTCTGAACCCACCAGTCCAAGCCTTCAACCCTTGGTGGTATCCACCGAGTTGTTGAAATAATGAAAAGAGAAGGATCAACAACGACATGAAACAACCCCTTTTTAGAAAAAAAGATAGACTTTGAACTTATGTGTATGAGTCCAGGACTCAGGGAAGGATGGAGTTGTGGCCGTGATAATATCCCTGGTGAAAATAATGACAAACTACTCCATCCACCACCAGTCATTGTCGTTATCCATGTTGGTAAGTAAGTCATGGTGGCCACCTTTGTTGAAATTTATTACTCCCCCTCAGAAAATCTTGGGTGAAGAGAGATTCATCATACGAGCCAAGGTGAGATCCTCCTGTGTTTCCTGGCACAACCATCGTATACAAGCCACTGTTCGCCATACCGAAAGGCCCACCTATGCCAAACAAACTTGGTATCGACGGCACAGTTCCAAAATCATGGGGTCAAGCCCCCTGCTCAAAGAAAACGCACCCAAAGTGAATGGGTACGTATAAACGTACATGAAGCCCTTCTTAGTAAATGTTACTCACTCTACCTGTTCGGGAGCAATAATTTTCAGGTAAGTGGCAATCACAGTGATCCTTAACAACAGGAACGCTGGAAGGGTGAATGGAAGAAGGGTATTTTCCAACAGCCCACATGCGGGAATTTGAAGAAGGAATCTTTTCTTCAAAGTCCTTGGATGTGTTGAGACGTTTGGGGATGATGGTGCTCACCATAAGGGGGTCAGCATCAACATCAATTTCTTTGTCCTTACTCTCTTTCGGACCCCTACCGAAGAGAAGACCGGAGTTATTGAAAGAGTTAGCTAAAGAAGCCATGATCATCAGGTGATAAGAGTTCTTTGAAGAAGATTAAAGAAGGATGAAAGCAGAAAGGAGTTTAATGCAGAGAAGTTGAGAGAGTTTGTAAAAAATGTTAAGTATAAAAGAAGAAGAATGAGGCGTATAAGTGATGGAATAGACGACTAAAATCATGGCCATGATTACCTCGAGAACCGGCGAAAATATTGCTAAATCGTGGTGTAACACGTGTTCGGGGTATTAAATAAAAAAGACGTGCGTCTTATCAAGTGTCAGAAACTTTTCAGAAGGGTTTAGAAAATTTTCTGCCAAGAAAGGAATTTTCACCAACTTCCCGGTGACACAAAGATGTGCCATCGAAAAGCAGGAGGACTATCTGTATAGGGTAAAATCGGTTCAAACTAAATACTTGAATGTCAGAGTAACACGTGGAACCGATGATAGACAGAAGACGAAGCGAGTGAAAACCAAGACCGAGGGCAACGACTTCGGTTGGCATCGGGTAAACCCCAAAGGGAACATTGTCAACAAGGACAAACAAATATTTGTCACCAGATGAAATTCAATGAAGAATATTCCTCAGTATTTAATACACGACCGTTACAAAATTTTTTGGAATTCATGACCTGCCATTACATATTCATCAATGACCCCCATTATTGTCATTTAAGAGGGGCTTGATCTCAAGATCTTGTTCCCTAGTTATAGCCATAAATATTGGCTTCAACAACTATTGTAAGACACAGAAATTTTGACAAACTTATGCTACACGTTATTTCAAGCTAAATAATATTTTATTTTCTGTCTAACAATATTCTTATTGCTGTCTTCGGAAGCCTTGCTCCTGGAATCAAGTTGTCTGCTATTTTATCTCGATTTCAACGCTAAGTCTTGTATTTAATTTAATTTATTTATCATTTTGGATCAAATCGATTCGCTTATCTATAAATCACGCTATAAATTAAACTGTACCGTTTTACGGATAAACAATAACCTAAAAGTTGAATTAAAGAAATGGGATGAAGCAAACCAATAAGCTTTTTTGATTGATTAACCCATCCAAATTTTAATGTAATGGAGTGAATTGAATCCCTCATCTGGGAGATGTTGTTTCTTGTTAAAGTTAGTAAAACTATACATCTATGTAATATGTTTTGTATATATTGTTTGAAAAGGAAACGAAAATAGCATCTCATTAATAATTCTAATTTGAAAATTTTACATTATAAGTAATAACAGAGATTAAATAAAGGCCATGAAAAGATTATATATTTCGGCGGACGAAAAAATAACAGGGTTCAAAATAATGAAAGATCAAAACGTTCAAATTTAAGCTCGAGTATAGAATTTTCGTTCCTCAAATTATTTGATATATCTGCAAATAACATCAAAATATAATTAATTATCATATTTTATGATTAAAAATCTTCGATTTTTGTAAAGTATCATATCAAAAGGTTATTAAAAGAGATCTTTGTCTATAAAATGGTAAATAGTGAGAATTATTTTTCCTAAGCCAACATACCAAATAGAAACACCCGAGACATGATGGGATTAACAGAGGAAATTTTACCTCCTATAGCAAAGGTTGAAACTTTATTTATTATAAATAAATACTCTTTTAAAAAATTATTTCCTATAGCTATCTTTTAATTTTTATAGCAAAATAATATCTATTTATGACCACTTCCTACCTTTAAGCCATTAAATACGTTGTGTATTATTTTTCTCTCTCCTTCTTTCTTTTTTTCTCTCACAAAATTACCGTATAGGAAGTAAACTTCTCTCTCCCTCTCTCTTCCCTCTCTCCTTCTTTCTTTTTTTCTCTCACAAAATTACCGTATAGGAAGTAAACTTCTCTCTCCCTCTCTCTTCCCTCTCTCCTTCTTTCTCTTTCCTCTTTCTTCTCTTTTTCCCCCGATTTTTTCCTTCCATGCTTTTAGAAACCCTAGCAGGGGCTGTGGTCAGCCAACGACAGATTTGATCGGTGACCACTTCCCCCCTTCCTTGCTGTGCTAAATTCAACTTTTTTTTGCTCTACAGAGCTGTAGTAAGTAGAAACAAAGATATGGAAAAAAACGATAAAGGAGAAACAAAGATCTGGAGAAATACAAGTGCAGATCTCAAAATTTTCAAAGCAGAAATGAGAGATTCACTACCTGGACGACTCAGAGGGCGCCGGTACTGGCAGCGACTCCCCACATCCTGGATATCGGTGGATTGGAGACGGAGTTTGAGGCTAAGGAACTTGAAGAGTCTATTACCTTTTTTTAATTGTATTTCAATGTATCTTGCTGTATTCAATGTATTTCATTGTATTCATTGTCTTTCGTTTTTTCTACTTTTTCAATATATTCATTGTATTTAAATGTATTCAATATAATTATATAATTTCAAAGCTTCACTTTGTTTCACTATTTTGTCCCGCAGTATATATTCAGCAGTATGTATCCAATGTATTGTTGAGTGTATTTATATATTTTTTAATTAATATAATTTATGTATTCAGATGTATATAGGTATTCAAATGTATCTGCAGCATGTATTCATATATTTTTGCACTATAGATGACCTGCTATACTTCATGTATTCAATATATTTTTATGTATTTAACTGTATTCAATGTAATTATATAATTTCAATATATAAATTTATTTGTAAAGATAACACTAAAAAATATTTTAGTAAAGATACCACTAAAAAAAGGATGGATTGAATCTCTGAAGATTGCTTTGTTTTTGGGTGTTTTTCGGTTGAAAATCTTTTCTATAATTGAAAATACAAATTTTGTGTGTTATAATTGAGTTTGTTGAGTTATATTAGGAGTCTATCGCGTTAATTGATTCACTTACCATTTTTAAACAGCTGAATCCCTTTTTTTTCCCGCAAATTCCGTTACTGTATTCACGAATACAGCTCGCGAATACATATGAATACAGTCTATGCGTTAGTTGTAATTCCCTTTTTTCTGCCGACTTTTCCTATTGTATCATGAATACATTAGTTTAAATACATTAAATACACTCTATAACAAGTTAAAACATAGCTATAAGAGGTAATTTAGTAAATAATAGATATGACAAGCTAATAATCACTAAAACATAGTGATTTCTGAAAATTTCTCATTAATAGAATCATTCACATGGGCGGATTTACTTGGAAAATTATAGTGCTCGACCTGAACGTGAAACCATTGTATCTCCAGCAAACTAGGATTTTATATGCATATTTTTTAGTATTGATCTAATATTATTTGGTGGCTCACATATGCTCTAAAGAGGTTAAATGATTCACTTGGTTGGATTTGCAGTTTTTTACTCATATAAACATGGATTAATTCACACTTGATACCTTTTTTAACTTTGTTTAATGGTGCACCTATGTTCTAGAAATTACAATTCCTCTCTGTTCGTTCACCTTAATCAACGATTCTTGGTGGACGTTTGGACATAAGAATTATAAAATTCCAAAAAATAGTAATTTTTTTTTCAAGTGGAAATGGTATTTGAAATATAAAGTTGTGTTTGGACATGAATATCACTTTGGGTTGTTTTTGAAGTTTTGTGAGTGATCCGAGTGAAAAAATTTTGAAAAATAATTTTTTGGAATTTTTTAAATTTTTGAAAAGTTCTAAAATGCATCTTTAAGTGAAAATTGAAAAATTTATGAACAAACGCTGATTTAAAAAAAAAAAAAGTGGAAAATTTCTAATGTCCAAACGGCCGGTATCAATTTTGCGAAGGAAAACAAATCCTAATAGAAAATAGTTTTTCTATCTTTAATAGGAAAATAAAAAAAAAAGAAACATTAGAGACACATACACCTATAAATTGCTTTTAGCGGATTAAACTAAAGACAAAAGTTATCGCAAAGAGCAAAAGCTATTGCAGCTCACATCTCCTTCCATTGAGCTCAACTATATTTGCAATGGCTTCTCTCCTCAACTCTGTACCCTCTATTAAACTATCCAATTTTAGCAACAACAACCCACTTCGCTCTTCACAAATTTCATCCCCCTTTTGCCTCTCATTTTCCAGTAATCTCATTCATAAACTCCTTCATTTCTTTAACCTTCTTATATACATATATATAATAACTTCATTTTATCTATCTATTATTCATTTGTTATGCATTAACGTTTGTTACTTTTGAACTTTTTTATAGGAAGAAGGCTTGTTGTAAGAGCAACAGAGACTGATAAAGAAGGTGAAGTTCTAAAGAGTATTTACTTTCTTGATTCTTATGGAGCTAACTATTTGTGTATTTATTTTTGTGATGATTGTTATTGAAATAAATAAAGATATGGGGTTTTTAGTTTTGAAATTTGTATGGCAGTTAAAGCACAAGCACCAGATAAGGCACCAGCTGCAGGTGGCTCAAGCATAAATCAGATTCTTGGAATTAAAGGAGCCAAGCAAGAAACGGTGTGATATTTATCTTATTATTCAGCTAAATGGGTTTATTTCTTTGATTTTATAATTATTCCTTTGCTATATTTACTTTCAATTATAATAACAAGGAGGTTTGTTCGAGTAGTGTTGGGTCTATAACTATAAGGGAACTCTATTGATCCCTAGTGAGTTGGGGGTAAGAAAAATCTGATTTTCATTCATATTACTCAGTGGCGGAGCCAAGTTTTTCACTAATGGGATTCAAAATATGAAGAAGTAAACACACTAAGAAGTTAAGGGATTCAACTATATATACGTAAGAAAAAAAAGTTGACCTATCTACTCAGTGATATTTTCCGGCAAAGGGGTGTCAAATAGGCTCCCCTTGGATAAGGGTAGCTCCGCGCCTGGACTAGTACTTCTCTGTCTACATCATACCTGCGAGGGACACCTGACATTTTAATTCAAATAACTGGTTTTTATGCTGGATTGAGACTGTGGCTAAGTCTCCACAACTCCACCTGTGGTTGCTCGTTTTGAATTTATCTGGAACACAAGAGTTAAAAGTGTAGCATATTTTTCAATTTATTAAACATGAATGTTAAATTGTTTTATCAAAATCAAAACAAATTACGTGTGGTCTGTTTATATTGGAAGCAGGTTCTGGTCGGTGCTCTAGTTCCAGTCTTTGAGTAACCTTTTCTGAGAAAAATTTCCCTGGAAAGGAGACTTCTTTGGGGAATCAGTGAATGAAGGGGATTATTTAGGATTTAAATGCCTATATAAAACTTCCAGTTAAGCGAAAATTAGGATGAGGTGAAGTGAGATTAGATGGGATTGTGGTGCCCAAATGCACGCAATTCAGATGGGTAAGCTCAATATTATAGAAGAATAGCATAATAGACGAAGATGTCCTACATAGAATTAAGATAGGATATCGAAAATGAAGGAGTATTACGAGAATGTTATGCAACGTGAAGAACCTGACAGAGTGAAAGTCAAGTTCTACAAAACAGTGGCGAGACCAACAATCTTACATGAGAGTGAATGTTGGGGGTTCTATATATATCTGAGGCCTAACTTATCTGAAATGAGTGTCAACAGAAATGGGGATCTTAAGATGAACGTGCGTCCCTTAAGTGTTGGACAGGATTACAATTGATCACATATGGCATAAGGTTTAAGTAGCATACCTAAAGGATAAAATAAGAATTGTCTGAGATCCTTGTAAAAAAAGAAGAAAAGAAAAGTGAGAGGTTTTCTGTAACAGTTTGCCTATGTCCTACATAGACCTCCATATGCTCTTGACTGTAGGCACAATAATAGATTATTGAAATTTGAAAGTACTAACATGGAGCAAAGTAGAGCTGAAATCGCATGGAGGAAAGTTGTTTCGAAAGACCATCAATCTTTCAAAATCAGTGCAGATTTACTTGAGATTATAAAGTAATGGAGGTGATGCCAACTAGTTGGAATTAAGGTTTATTTACTACTTCCTCCATCTCAATTTGTGTGTCTTACTTTCCTTTTTAGTCTATTTAAAAAAGAATGTCTCTTTCTATATTTAGCAACTCTCTAACTCCAACTTTCCACATGACATATTTTTAAGACCACACGATTCAAGTATATTTTGGCACATTACATATATCTTTAGTTTAAGCCCACAAGATTTAAAACTCTACTTTCTTAAACACCCCAGTCAAACTAAGACACATAAATTGAAACGAAGAGAGTATTGTTTTATGTTGTTTCACTTACATTAAGTTTGTTACTTTCCACTAAGTCCTTTTGGTCTGGTTAAAGACTTGTATATCATTTTAGAGATAAGTGTGAGACTTGAAAGCTTCTAGTTCTAATAAATCCTGAACTTCCCTAGAAGATAAATTATTTATAAGCAAATTAGTTGGAATAATTTGGGCTCGCAGTCAAATGATTATAGAGGCTTCATATATGACCCAACTTTGTTTGGGATTTAGATGCAGTTGATTGATATAACTGCCTCTTAAGAAAGGCGTAAACATAAATCTGCCTGCCGAAGACTATATACCACATGGAGGACAGGTGAATAACTCATAGGACGCATCTTGGACAAATCATCTCTTCTCATATTGAGCCATGGTCATGCTGAAAACTCTTGTTTGTAACACAGGAAGCCTATGTCAGATAAATGCCTGGTCTTTCCTTGGGAAGAGTTCGAAGAATTAACCTAAATAGCCGCCTATCCAACCGTTTAAATTAAAGATAGCCGATAGATGTATAATAATATGTATAATATGTGTATAACTGTATATAACCAATGTATACTCTATGTATACTGGATAGAAAGTGTAAACAGTGAATCCGGCCGGCTATCTTTTTAAGATCCACTCATACTTACCCTGGAAACCCTTTGATATTTCTGCATGATGTCATAAACCATGAAGACCACCTTAAATTTCTTTCTAGAGTCTGATTTTTCTGTTGGATAGTTAAAGAGGGACAAGAAAGAAAAAGCAGAGAAAAGCGGGACGCAACGAGTATGCATATCCCAACAAAGACAAATTAATTCAAAACTTACTCTTCTCTATTTGTTCTTTACAGGACAAGTGGAAGATTCGGGTTCAACTTACAAAACCTGTTACTTGGCCTCCCCTTGTGTGGGGCGTGGTCTGTGGCGCTGCTGCTTCTGGTACTACTAGGCACATATTCCAAGGAGTATTTAAATGTCTCCTTCAATCTTTGGCCCTAGATACTTCCAATTTCTATGTTCATATGCTGTTTGTATCATTCAATTTTAATTTCCCAAACATTAAAGAAATGTAGGCAAAGCATTTATTTGTTAAATCATGAAATGCTCTTATATTTAGAATTGAACACTTCATATTCATACAAAATCTTAACTCAGGTGTACATTGTCATCAGTCCGTGTAAACAAATACTATGAGATTATGAGGCCATCATCCCAATTGCAAAAAGGAAATATTGCCTTGTGTTATAGCCTATTAAAAGTATATCATGTTTTGGCTTGGTGCTGAAATGCAAATAATAGTAGATCTGCCATCATAGTTAGCTGTCAATTTAAGTTGAATTTGGAAAATTTTGTACTTCATAATCTATTTGTGGATCACTTTTGCAAATGAAACTGTTTTTCAATAAAAACTTCTATTCATGGAGTTCTAACTAAACAATATGTATTTAGTGGGCTCTCTGCATTTATCTAATACATTTCTGAAACCTTGTCATAGGGAACTTCCACTGGACTCCAGAGGATGTGGCGAAATCAATTGTTTGTATGCTAATGTCTGGCCCATTTCTAACTGGCTATACTCAGGTACTTCTCTCACTAGTGCAAATTAGTGCTTTTCAAGATCGAATATCTACTTTAGAAATCCTGGGAAGTGACTTTTTAATTTATGTTTAGACTATTAATGATTGGTATGATAGAGAGATTGATGCTATTAATGAACCTTACCGTCCAATTCCTTCAGGCGCAATATCCGGACAAGAGGTATGTCTTGTTTGAGATTGTCTAAAGATATGTATGAAAAGTTAAAACTAATTCCACATATCCTATATATTCTCATCAAGATATCACTGATACCAGGTCATTAATCAAATATGGGTGCTTCTTCTTGGAGGTCTGGGGTTAGCTGGTATTTTAGATGTGTGGGTAAGTCTTTAAAGCTGCTTATTATCCAGTTATTTAGTTATCTGGAAACGTCTGAATTCCTTGATCGTTGTTCTTATAGGCAGGGCACGACTTCCCTACAATATTTTACCTTGCTCTTGGTGGATCCTTGCTCTCCTACATCTACTCAGCTCCACCATTGAAGGTAAAGCCGTTATCTTTGACAATCCTCTGAACTAGCTTCTTTTACAGTATCAAAATGGGAATAGCTCTGATATAAAATTTATGTGCAGCTCAAACAGAATGGATGGATTGGAAATTTTGCTCTCGGAGCAAGTTATATCAGCTTGCCTTGGTATATATTGAACTGTCTACTATTCTGCAACTTGTCGAGATTTATTTTCAAAAATCGAAAGAACCAGGCTGAAGTGGAAAAGTTTTAACATATTACCTCCGCAATAATAACCTGGCTTTATAAAAAAATACTGTATATAATAACCTGGCCTTCTCTTCGCCAGTCATGCACTGATGATTAGGTGATGCTACCAGTCATGAATTGATGATCATATTGAAAATTAACCTAGTTGATCAGGCATCATTTGCTGGGGGACTTGGTGGTGGAGTTTGATTCTCATTTATTGAGTCCCACAGATGGGATTATCTGTGATAGAAATTACCTTGTGCAGCAAAGGGCTTTTACAAATGCATTGCTTTAGCATTTTGGTTTGTGATTAGGAGTGCAGAGATAAAGTAACGCAGAATCCTTTCAATTTCTTGATGTAGGTGGGCTGGTCAAGCTTTGTTCGGAACCCTTACACCTGACATAATCGTACTAACACTCTTGTATAGCGTTGCCGGAGTAAGAGTCTGCAAAAGCACTTTTTATTTTAATTTTCTATCACATGTATCAGTAATTATCTTACGTTTTCTCTGTTATTTTTGCAGCTAGGCATAGCCATTGTAAATGATTTCAAAAGCATTGAAGGAGACAGAGCTATGGGGCTTCAGGTATATACTCCACACAATTTAACTTCTCATTCATGACTGGCCATGTTTATGACTGTTCTAAATTTCTTATGGCACTGCATTTGTAGTCACTTCCAGTAGCTTTTGGCTCTGAAGCCGCTAAATGGATTTGTGTTGGTGCCATTGACATAACTCAGATATCAGTGGCAGGTGATCACTATTCTTGTTTATTTGACTACTATCAGATCTATATATTGTTTAATTGACAACTATCAGATCCATATATGTTAACAAGTGACAACCTTTTGACCTATCCAAAATATAAAGGCGAACCTTTTGGGCCTCATAATGCTGTGTATCTTCATTGAAGTTATATCATTATATCAATATCAAGGTATCAACTGAAGTAAGAATGAATATTGGGAGATGAAGGTTTTAGCCTTATCAAATGGTGATTGTTGACGATCTAATGATCGGTAACCACAGTTATTTGATGTGCATGGTAGACACTATTAGCGGTCTCCACGACTTGAGCACTATATGAAAACCAAGAGATGCTTTAGTTTCTTCTACCTTAGAGAGGCTACTTATCAATAGTTTTGATTGTCCGGAACTCTCTCTTTGAAATTTAGAACTGCAGACTTATTTCCAAATTATTGCTTGAAACTAATGGTGATAGGGGGGCTACTTAAGTGGTCAAGGTCCAGTTTCAAACCTAGAGCATCTAAGATCATCTAAAGGTAGTTGATGCCAAATTAAGATCAGGGCTATCATTTAGGAGAGGACTTTTTCTGAATGTAAACTGTTACGTGGGCAAATTTAAGCCTTAAACAATCTTGTAATTGCTTTATGTCTTGTTTGTTGCAGGGTATCTTTTAGGTGCTGGCAAACCCTATTATGCTTTAGCACTTCTAGGTTTAATTGCTCCACAAGTATTCTTCCAGGTAAGTGTTATCCTAATTCGATTAGCATTATCCTGGTAACCAAATCACAGGCCACGCATATATAATAACTGAAAGAGTATAGCTTTTATGCACTGATAATGTAATGAATCACTTACACTCTATCAGATTACGTAAGAAATAGTTCCAGGCAACTTCTTATGATTATATGTTACCTTAAAGATTAGGAAAATGACCTGCAGCAATAGTTGAACATGCACTGATAATGTAAGTTGACAGTGTGATAAAGTCCGTAGCTTAATTGGAAAAGGAGATAGCCTGTTTGGCCAAGCTTATTTTTGGCCAAAAGTGCTTTTTTTTTTGCTTTTGGCCAAAAATTGAGGTGTTTGGCCAAGTTTTTTGAAGGAAAAAAGTGATTTTGAGGAGAAGTAAGAAGCAGTTTTGGAGAAGCAGAAAAAAGTAGCTTCTCTCCAAAAGCACTTTTGAGAAAAATACACTTAGAAGCAGTTTTTTAAAGTTTGGCCAAACACTAATTGCTGCTCAGAAGTGCTTTTCCAACTAATTAGCCAAACACAAATTGCTTATCACCAAAAGTACTTTTGGGAAAAACACTTTTGAAAAAAAGCACTTATCAAAATAAGCTGATTTTTGCAGCTTGGCCAAACGGAGTATCATCTCTGCATGGCAAAAGTAATCTAACATGTGACTTTTTTTGCTCTGCAGTTCAAGTATTTCCTCAAAGACCCTGTAAAGTACGATGTTAAGTATCAGGTACCTTCACTCCCCTTTCTACTAAAACTTAAAACATCGTAAAGTTAAAATATTGGAAAAATTAGTACCTCTCTTAATTTTGCTGTTCTCAAACCCAAACCAATGTGTCATTTCAGGCTAGTGCACAGCCATTTCTTATCCTTGGTCTTCTGGTTACCGCTTTGGCAACTAGCCACTGATATTCGAGTGGCGCTTACACGATATAGAGGAGACGCCTCGTCCAAGGGAAAGAATCTAAGAATGAGACCAAGAAGCTGCTGCTAAGAGTGAACAAATTAAAGGTCTCTATTCAACAACTCCTGTTACTTCGCGCAGTGTTAACTTCCAAGTGTAGAATGTAGATCAGTATTCTCTCCTCTGCTGCTGGTGCCTGCTTCTTCAGGGGCTATAAATTGTTTAAAATCTTTCAATGTGATGCTGGTTTATGCCAATTTTGGATGGTTTTTACCTTTTTTTTTTTTGGAAATGTATTTAGACTAGTTTTGAAGTCTGTTATTTCAAATTTAGGATGCAGAAATCGGATAAGATCCCATTTCCTGCTAATTAAGAATCATCTTCTTCCTGCCAAAAATCTTCCACTCCGAAATTTTTTAGAAAAATATTCAAAAAGTAGGGAAGCTATCTGTAATGGTAAAAAGTGCACTTAACACGTGTACCATTTAAAAGAGGACAAATGGCAAGAATTGACCAATCAACTTGTATAACATCTAGAGTGTAAATCAGAAGGTCAGAAAATCAAAGATGGATAAAAGACTCTTGGAAGATCAACTCGATTAGTCGAAAATGTAGTCTAATGTTTGGAGAATTCATAAATGATTGGGGAGTTCACGGATAAGAAGGATGGCAGATCAACAAATGCTGAAGTATTCGGAATTCATCATTTACTCTACGATTACAACATCCAGCATTAAATCAATCATTATGAATTATTTAAATGAACAAATTGAATGAGTGTAACATCAACATGAATCGAGAAAACAGTAAACTCGGATTTACCATCATAAAAGCTAATATTTGTCCATTTGAGAATACATTCTGCAATCATTAGAATTATGTCACGACCCCAAAACCAACCCGGTCGTGATGACGCCTATCATGGAACTAGGTCAGCCGAGACAATCCCAAAATAATTCGACATTTCATAATAAAGATATTTTAAGCTATTAATTAATAGAACTTCATAGCATAAGTCTCAATAGCAAAGTGCAGAAAGAAACAAAAGTCCGACATCGGGGTGTCACAAGTCACGAGCATCTACTAAGGATTATCCGATAACAACTAAGACTATTATAGCCGGGAGAACACTAATATAGTCTAAAGGAAGATAGGAGGGAGAAGAGCAAGGCTGCGATCGTCATGCAGCTACCTTGCCAACTCCGAAATATCCGTAACGGATGAAAGATCATTGTTCGCTATCACGTCCAGCAATCCATGGATCTGCACACAAGGTGGAAGGAATAATGTTATTATGCCAACTTAGTAAGTAATAAAGGTAAATAAAGACTGAGCAGTAAGAAACACATAAATCCACGTCATGAAATCTCAGTAAGTACATCATGCTTTCAAATCAGTACGTAAGTCAAATCATCTCGTTTAAAATCCTATTTCGGTAAAATCATTTGAAAATATCTTTCAATAGTTTCAACAAAGGTTCAATGAAATTTAGAGTAAAAGTAATGAAAGTCACAACCAGCCCCTCAGGCAACATGAATCATAAACCGCCCCTCGTGCATAACATCACTCAGAACCAGCCCCTCGAGCAACCTCACAGTCACTCGTATGCCGCCCCTCGGGCACATCATGAATCAAGAACAGCCCCTCAGGCAAAACATCATATCGCTCACTCAGGGTACCCGCGCTCACTGGGGGTGTATAGACTCCGGAGGGGCTCCTACAACCCAAGTGCTATAACAAGCCACCTCGTGGCATAACCAATCAGGCCCCCGACCTATTATATATCATAAATCAGTAACAACATGCTGCGGCGCGCAGCCCGATCCCATAATATCCTCACAACACAGGCCCTCGGCCTTACTCAATCAGAAACCTCTCAAGCCACTTGGGCTATCAGTAAAATCAGGGTGCTCAACCCAAAATAACATTTTATATGCGTCAAAACGGGGTAACAAAGACTGAGTTATGAAATCAGTAAACATACCATGACTGAGTATAGATTTTCAATCAAAACAGTGAGAGGATAATAAGAAAAGGCCCCTAAGCGTCCAAACAGCTCTGGTACAAGGCCTAAATATGTCATTCAACCAATTTATTGAGATTCTTTCTAAAAGACATAAGTATCACATAGTTTTAGTCAAATATGCAACTTCATAGTTGCTGCGGGACGGACCAAGTCACAATCCCCAACGGTGTCGGCCCACACGATCGTCACCTAGTATGTGCGTCACCTCAAAGTAGTGAAACGATGTGAAATTCGGGGTTCCATACCCTCAAAACAAGATTTACAATCATTACTTACTTCAAACCGGATAAAACTCTAGACCGCGATTCCCTTACCTCTCGACTCGGCCTCCAAATGCTCTGAATCTCACCAAAATCAGTATATTATGATCAATATACGCTAACGGAATGAATTCCACATGAAATTTATCAAATTAGACCAAAAACCCGAATTTGGCTCGAACCCGGCCCGCGGTCCCACATCTCCAAATCCGATAAAAATTATAAAACTAGTAAGCTCATTCACTCACGAGTATACCCATATTAAATTCATCAAAATCCGACATCAAAGGGCCATCCAAATCCCCAAAATTAACTCTCCAATTCTCTTCCATTTCCCCAATTTTCACCCCAAATTCCTAATTTAGATGATAAAAATCAAGACACAATCATGGAATTTAACTAAAATCAAGTGAAGAACACTTACCCCAATCACTCTCTGAAAATCCCCTCTAAAATCGCCTTCTCCCGAGCTATCTATTGAATTTTGGAATTATGAACTCAAACCCTCGTTTTTGAACTTTAAACATTCTGCCCAGATATTCCCTCTTCGCGAACACGGTACTGCCCTCGCATTCGCGAAGCACAAGCTGCCTCAGACCAAAAGTTCCTCCTTTGCGAACGCGAAGCCTTAGCTGGCTGACCCTACGCGAATGCGGGAGCTACATCGCGAACGCGAAGAACAACTCAGTTGCCCCTCACAAAATCCCTTTGCGAACGCGAGAGCCTTCTCGCGAACGCGATGAAGGAATTCTCTGCGACAAAATACCAGAAAAACTGCCAACTTCCAAAACCAAGAATGTATCCGTTAGTCACCTGAAACTCACCCGAGGCCCCAGGACCTCAACCAAACATACCAACACATCCCATAACATCATTGAAACTTATTCGAACCTTCGAACCACTCAAAACAACATCAAAACACCAAATCAAGCTTGTATTCAAGCTTAAGAACTTATAAACTTTCAAATTTCACAAACGACGTTGAAACCTGTCAAATCACCTCCGAATGACCGAAAATTTTGCACACACATAAAAAATGACACTATAGACCTACTCCAATTTTTGAAATTCCATTCCGACCTCGATATCAATATTTCCACTGCCGATCGGAAAATGCCAAATTTCCAATTTCGCCAATTCAAGCCTAAGTCGACCACGGGCCTCCAAATTACATTCCGAACACGCTCCTAAGTCCAAAATCCCTTAACGGAGCTAACCGAACCATCAAAATTCACATCCGAGATCTTCTACACATAAGTCAACATCAGGTTGACTTTTCCAACTTAAACTTCTAAATAAGAGACTAAGTGTCTCATTCCTCTCCAAAACCACTCCGAACCTGAACCAACCAACCCGATACCTCACAATACAGCTGAATAACACATAAAGAAGCAGAAATGGGGGAAACAGGGCTATAACTCATGAAACGACCCGGTCCTCCCCCTCTTAAACAAACATTTATCCTCGAACGGGTCTAGAAACATATTTGACGCCTCAAACAGGTGTGGATATCTGCTATGCATTTCCCGATCGGTCTCTCAAGTAGCCTCCTTTACGGGCTGACCTTTCCACTGCACTTTCACTGAAGCTATATCCTTCGATCTCAACTTTTGGGCCTGCCGCTCTAAAATAGCCACTGGCTCCACATCATAAGTCAAATCACCATCCAACTGAACCATGCTAAAATTCAAAACATGAGACAGATCACTGACATACTTTCGAAGCATAGAAACATGAAATACCGAATACACTCCCGATAAGCTAGGTGGCTAAGCAAGCTCGTAAGCCACCTCCCTAATCCTCCGACGCACCTCAAAAGGCCCAATGAACCGAGGGCTCAACTTTCCCTTCTTCCCAAATCTCATAACACCCCTCATGGGTAAAACCTTCAGTAGAACCTTCTCCCCAACCATGTAAGACACATCACGAACTTTCCTATCAGCATAACTCTTTTGTCTCGACTGAGCTATACGAAGCCGCTCCTGAATCACTTTCACCTTGTCCAAAGCATCCTGTATCAAGTCTGTACCCAAAAGCCTGGCCTCGCCCGTCTCAAACCAACCTACTGGAGACCTACACCGTCTCCCATATAAAGCCTCATATGGAGCCATCTGAATACTCGACTGGTAATTGTTGTTATATGCAAACTCCACGAGTGGTAGAAACTGGTCCCATGAACCCCCAAATTCAATGACGCAAGCGCGCAACATGTTCTCCAGTATCTGAACAGTACGCTCAGACTGTCCGTCCATCTAAGGGTGAAAAGTTGTGCTCAACTCAACCTGAGTACCCAATGTAACTCTCGCTGCACGGACCTCCAAAACTGTGATGTAAACTGCGTACCTCTATCTGAAATGATAAGAAACTGGGACACCATGCATGCAAACAATCTCTCGGATATAAATCTCAGCTAACCTCTCTAAAGAATAGGTAGTACATACAAGAATGAAGTGCGTGGACTTGGTCAGTCGATCCACAATCACCCAAATAGCATCGAACTTCCTCAAAGTCCATGGGAGTCCAACTATGAAATCCATGGTGATCCTCTACCACCTCCACTCTAAAATATCTATCTACTAAAGCAAGCCACCCGGTCTCTGATGCTTATATTTCACCTGTTGACAATTTAGGCACCGAGCCACAAACCCCACTATATCTTTCTTCCTTCTTCTCCACCAGTAGTACTGTCTTAAATCCTGGTACATCTTCACGGCACCTAGATGAATAGAATACCGCGAGCTATGGGCCTCTTCCAGAATCAACTCCCGAAGCCCATCTACATTTGGCACACATATTCTGCCCAACATCCTCAATACCCCGCCATCACCTATGGTCACATCTCTTGAATCGCCATGCTGAACTCTGTCCTTGAGGACAAGCAAATGAGGATTATCATACTGGCGCTCTATGATACGATCAAACAAGAAAGATCGAGAAACAACACAAGCTAAGATCCGACTGGGCTCCGAAATGTCTAACCTCACAAACCGATTAGCCAAGGCCTGAACATCAACCACAAGAGGTCTCTCCCTAACAGGAATAAATGCAAGACTGTCCATACTTACCGCCTTCCTACTCAAGGCATCGACCACTACATTGGCCTTCCCCGGA